TCAATATTATGTATACAATTATTAACACGTTACAAGGCAAATTTTTATTGTGCTCTATTAGGGGACATTTTATTTAATAAATTATGCTTCTCTGAATAAGATTCCTCCGAGATAAGCTGTGCGATTACGCGAAGAGAGCATACTGATGACTAACACGTGTCCCGGCGACATGCAGCAATGCGTAACTGCAGAGAGTTCATCCGTTACCTTGTATATAGATTGCGCGAAAACGTTCGACACGTTCGATAAATGTTTTTCGCGACGAATTACCTGACGTGTTCTTTTTTATCGAGCTATTTTGCAATACGCTCGTATACTTCCTGCAATTAACGACGTTAACTTAAAATTGCACACTGATAAAAAAACTCAATCTTATTTCTACAGTGGGAATTTACAGCGCGTTTGTTTATGAAATTGAGAAGGATTGGCTAATGCAGATAACGCTGTATCTGCGACTAAATATATTTTACGTCATATTCCTTTGTAGTAAATAAGCATAGAAGCGATTTACGTCACGCCTGTGGAATATTCAAGAATCACTCGACTTTTTTTTTTTTTAATTACGCGTTTGAATGTTTTCTTCTTTCATGCAAGAAACAACATTAGAGAGTATAACGAGATTCTACTCGACGTCGAGGCGTCAGTAAAATAGAGATTTAAAGTACAAGATACACTCGCTTAAGTTACTTAACGTCAAATAAAAAAGTTCTAATAAGCGGATCATACACAACACTTTTCAAAAGGATACAAATGAAAACCTATAATATAATAAAATACCTATAATATAATTTTAAGCATTTATACGAACGCGTGGACCTTTCGTCTGTACGGAAGTGACACGACGACTGACGATACACAAGCAAACGGAAATCAATAACAATTAACGCGTCGTAATTTGACACGGATCTCCACGGGGCGACGGGATAAGAAGACCGAGCAAAATCGGCACAAATCGCACCATTCAGTCGCCGTTTCCGCGGAGAAGACGAGTAAATTTGTTGACCGATAATTAGCACAGGGTAACTAACGGCCCATTCCGCCGTCGAGAGAGCAGAAGGCGCTCGCGCCGTTGCGCGAGAGCAATAATTTAATATATGCGCGCGCGGACGGGTACGTTCTCGCAGGTGCGAAGTGCCTGCGAGTGCCAGGATACAGAAATAGGTGCTGTACGGTCGGGCGTACAGGTACGTGTACGCACGAATGTAATCGTGCAAGTGTGTTGTACGCGGTATATGTACTGGGCAGTACGACGGATCGGACAACGAATATATATATATATATATATTCGTTATTCGATCCGTCGTACCGCCCAGTACATATACCGCGTACAACTTGCACGATTATATATATA